GGCTTGTTAATTTCTTAGGCCCTGAACCTGCTCCTATTGAACTAACTTGATAGAGCTTCCTAAGTCTCTCACTATAAAACACATTTTCCAAACATGTAATTGTTCTTGTAGCTGTCTTTCTGAACCCCTTCCAGTTTCCTTAACATCCTCTCTGAAATGTGGACACCAGAACCAGAGACAGTATTTCAGTCATAATCTCAGTACTGCTGTACACAGAGGTGATATCACCTCCCTACTCCTACTCACTATTCTCCTCCTAGTTCCATTTCATTATCACTGCATTCCAGGATACATCCCCCCCAAGTTCTCCTTCACCTCAAATCCTTTGCGTACTCCTGCGCAGATGTTAGTTCCTCCACCAGCTGATGTAGGCAGGCATTTGGTAAGATCATGGCGTACATTCTCAGTGACTATTTGTCGTAGATTACATGTAATTTGTGCTGTAGATTCGAATGTGACAATTCCAACCCAGGAATCCATTTCGATAATCTGTAGCAGGAATATCTCCGCAGCTTGATACAGACGATTAATGCGGTTATACTGTAGGTGAAGAAAGGGACGTACTTAGAACTATCAAGGCTTTTCAAGAGTGATAGCAAAAAGCAAGAATACAGCAATTACTAATGTTGTTCAGTTTGTACTGATAAATGGGAATGTACTTGCCATAGAGTAGATGAGAGCTTTGAAGAGAAAATATGGAAAATTAGACAAATACCCAATATCTGGGTAACCCAAACTACCTTACATATCATCCCCAGGCATTTTCTTTCCAGACCAGTGGAGATGTGTACTTTGTTCTGCTATCATGGAAGGATATCTGCATATTGAAATATCCAGGAGATATATAACTGTGTCAGCCAAAGAGCATTCTAATAATGTGGTGATATTCCTCACAAATAAGGTTTTCTCTTTCACATAATTTGTTTAGGTAAAATGGCTGTAGCCTCAGAGAACAGTATTCAACCTATCTATGCTTTCGAATAGCCCCTCTATTTCACAGGTTTCTGGCACTTTGAAAGTTGGTAATTACAGTGAAAGGGTTTATTTTAAATGTAAATATTTGAACAGATTGCTGAAAACCAACTGAGAAAGTTTACCCTGGAAGCTTTCCTTTCTCTATAAAATTAGCGGTCATTATTCTTGATCTAGTTAAGATCTTGATCTAGTCTCCTATATTAAGATTAAGGGATGGGCTGATTTATATCTTTTATCTCTGAAAATCTAGTACTTGTTTGCCTTTCAATAGCTTTGGGGTGAATTTGATGCTAATGACAGTAAAATGCTCATAGTACTAGTCTACATAAGCTTTTCTAATTTGAAATCTCTCCAGAAGAAGGAACGTCAGCTGTATTTGGTTGTTGGGGATGGGGATGGATAATTATTAGAGAACACCACATTCACTTTCACTCGTGATCTAGAATTTGAAGTATTATCTCTAGAGAGAAAAGGTTGGCGCAGTTACATCCTGTGCCAGTCTCAGTCCCTAGTTGGGTGATTTCATAGCATGTGTCATGCATGACAGACATTTATCACATCATAACTTCACTAGATAATTTGGGAAAATTGTCAATCTTTGCTGAAGATCAGTCCCAGGAATGGACTTGTATGGTGTGGCCTGGCAGGAATAAATTGTGTTGGCAGAGCAGTATAGGGGAAGCTTACACAGGGTATAACTGCCCTGTACCTGCTTTCAGACAGGGTTTAGTACTTCACTTTCAAGAGCACTGAATTCCATTCTCCTCAACTGTAGCTCATCGCAAAATGCTCCACTTATTTGAGATCCATATCTTTCTTTGTCACAAAGCAAATGAAATTATGATTTGATATTGAGAAATACCCAATTACAAAACTGAAAGCACATAAAACATTATATAGTAACCTGTAGGCCACAGAAATACGTCATATACCATCTTAAGCATCTTCCTGTACATTTTCACTGAATTCATTATTGTGGGTTTGTGTCAAATATTTTAAGAGACGCTCACAACCTGTTTAAGCCCCATACATTATCTTTCTGAGAAAGAAGATGGATACCATACACCATCCGTTACAAATTCCATACCATAGCCTAAGATCAAAACTTCATCATTTGGCTCCTCAGTGGAGTTGTGTTGATTGTTGAACTGAAGACCTAAAATATTTGTATTTTAAAGAAAGCTATAGTAAAACTCTTATTTATACTATATAATAATATATATGGAGTACATGTGATATAGCATGAACTGGGGATTCTAATGTTATTCCTTGATGATGAAATTTTGAGCGACTATATTCGGTATGATAGAAAAAAGCATTCTTGGAATGTTTTAGAGAGGTTTTAATATTTTTATATTGGGACTACTTTTTATCCCCCACCTGTAAAGCCAGCTGCCTTTGCTATCATTATTCAACCCATAGAGGGCTCATAAAGACGTCTAAAATTACATAAGTTTTTTTCCAGACATTTAGATGCCATAATTTTAAAGTGAGATATCTGGGGCCTCTCCAGGACACAAAAGGATGTTGTGTCTCCCATAGGGAAGCTGAGAATCTTCTCTTCCCAGAAATATACTGGTGGGAAGGTCCTATTTCTAGCCCTGAAGGTCTGTGTGATATCAAACTTGAAAGTTATAACATATTTGAGAACAGACTTTGTCACTAGCTCCGGATTGAATGTTTGAAACAAATAAATTAGGGATGAGGAAATTCTGTATATTAGGGAAAGAATGCAACAGAGATTCATATAAAAATAGCTCTTGGAAGCTGGGTAGTGGTTTGGAATATAAGCATAAAACCTGGGGAGATGGATTTATAGTCAGAAGGCAGGTGAAGCTTGAAAAGGTACAGGATAAATTGCAAAAAATGTGGCAAACTTATAAGATGACTCTTACTTCTATGTGATATTTATACATATGAACACATCTTATTCAGGGAGGTTATATTGGATTTACTTTAAGAATGGTAAATTTGAGGACCTAAACAGATTGAGAATCTCTTTCAAGGCTCATATGACCTATAGCAGCCTCTGCAAGATGAGAATTGTGCTAAGTTTAAACAAAAAAATGCCTCATCCTGGTTAATCCAGCATCACTTTATGACAACCCAAATTCTTGACTCATTAGGCTGAATGATTATGAGGAAAAGTATTGCATTTTTATTTTGCTATACCTAGTGACATATATTTATTTTTAAAATAGTTTGAGAGAGTCACATATGAAAAATATCATGAAACTTGCATCTATGATATATTTTCTGTTTTGGGGAAGTACAGTGGTTCTGACATTCTGGATCTGAAACTAAAAAGAGGAGCACAAGTTATATTTTGTAAAGAAAAAGAGACCAAGTCCGGCATATCATTTTTAGGAATTTGATGAGTTTCCTTTTAGCAATTCCAAAAATATGTATAATGGAAGAAATAGTGGCCTCAATTTTTTCTTAAAGAATAAAGGATGATTACGGAAATATTGACTAAAGAAAATGCTGTAATATATATACACCACATTGTTTTATAACTGCCTAACTGTTTCTAAGCAGTTCTGCTAAAAAAAAGAATGTGTATGTTTATTCTTACCCTGTCCATGCTCCCAGAAACATCAAGTACTAGACAGACTACTCTGTCTTTGGTCTGCAGCAATGAGAAGGAGGTCTCAAACGGAGGACTTGCGCTATTTATTGGAGAGGTGTTACTGAAGTCCGTAGAGTTCATAATTACTTCCCAGGTGCTTTTGTAGTTGCACATTTTGTTCTGCATATTTGTAGCCTTTTTATTATGAGTACTTTGATCACAGAACTCAACCACCTAAAAAAAGCCAATTGGAAGAGAAGAATGATTACTCAAAAGCAAGTGAACACGTGTAGTAGCAAATCTCAGTCTACTATTTTTCCATTGCTCACCACAACCACAAATACAGAAATTCTTTGCCTGCTCTACAGGCTATAGAGAATAAAATTTTTCTATGTCCTGGACCTTGGAAGAAGTCATCAAAGAAGAGTGTTCCCAAAGAATCTGTCTTAGGGGTTACACAGGTATGTCCACACTGCAATCAAAGGTATGACTGGAGCTCAGGCGGGCGTACACATGCTATCTTTAATCCAGCTAGTTTGTCTATTGATAGAAGTAAAGATGTGGCATCATGGGTTGTACAAACCCACCCAGAACCCTGGATATATACTCCACATTGCTAGCCTGCACCAGTGTCCATGCCACCATGTCTTCGCTGCTATTTTTAGCCTCGCTAGCTAGATTAAAGCTAGCACCAATATGCATTCCTGAGCTTCTGTCATATCTCTGAGTGCAGTGTAGACATACCTGTATTTAATCAGTGTTGTGAGGATGCCCTGGCAATGCAGACATCATCAGTAAAGTTCACAGTTATGCGGTTACTATGGAGTCTCAGTGCGTGGATACATAAGGCTCTAACTCACCTGGGACACAACATACTCTGCCAGGGGAAAATCATGCAGAAGGGAAAAAAGTTTTCAAAACAAAAACCCTCTGATCTTCCTGGCTGGCAGGAATACTTTTAAAGAGGATGACCAGCTCGCTGTGTCTGTCCCCCCCTTGCTACTCCCCGGAGGGCAGAATTTAGCCCATAGAATATTTTCAAAGCTCCAGAAGTAAGGTGCGGAGTGTCTCTAGCAGGTTGTTGAGCACACTCAATATCCAGACATGTTAGTGGGAGCTTAGCACATCACAGGATTAGCCTGTCACAAAGGAATAAACCTTCTCAGTGTTGTAACAGAAAATGCCCCAGCTGGGTAACTTTGTTATCTGACCCAAACGGGAGCAAAAGTTTCCACAATGTCAGGGTATTTCCATACACCTGTGATGCCCCACACTGGCAATGAAAGGGTTAATGAGAAACTATGGGCCCAATTGGCCCCACCCCACTACAACAGCAAATGTCAGGCATGGAGAGAGGAGCTGAAGGAAACTAAACTCAGGGCTGCCCAGGAAGAAGAGCAGAACTCCGCTTCTCCAGAGAGAAACCTGGTTGCAGATCAGAGTCTGAGCCGGCTTGCTGGCCTGACAAGCTCCTGTTAGAAGGGACAACCAGCTCCTGGGGAATCAGCCGAAGCAAGACCTGTTTGGAGACAAGCCTTGAATAGAAAGGCTGGGTCCCATATAAGTTTCTTCGGATAATTCTGTTTTGAGTTGTGTTTTTGTTGTTGTTTTGTTGTTCCTGATTCCTTTGGAAGAGGTAGGACTCAAGTGAGCCTTGGCTAGAGGGCAAAAGCAATGCTACTTTGGACCTCGTAGACATAGCAACATATCGTCAGAGACCTGTAGCTAGATGAATCATACCCTGAAGGGCCACAAGGGAGCACTACATAGGCAGCAGAACAAACTTGGGCAAGAATACAGGCACAGATCTAGCACCAGGGGAAGGGAAGAGGTCGGACATTTTTAAAAAAAATCAACACTCTCGGAAGAGACTCCCCAGCAATATGCATGTGGAGTAACTACTGAAATCAATGGCGGAGCAGAACACCCACCAACACCAGCAGCAACAGTGGCTCCGACAGCAACTGGCCACTCAGCATCAGCTACTGACTTGAAACTTAGCTGCTCAGCAGCAACAGCAACAAAGGCTGGTGCAAGAGGGCATGACCTCACTGCAGCCTCCCACAGTGGCCAGGCTTCCACCATGGGTCTGGTGGACATGGACCTGTCCTTGGCCCTGGTACCAGTCAGATTCATGAAGATGGGGCCTGAAGATGATCCAGTGACTTTTCTTGAAAATTTTCAATGGGTGGCAGTGGCAGCACGGTGGCCGGCGGAGCACTGAGCATTCTTACCAGTCACCTACTTGACCAGGACAGAACCACAGGCTGCCTATTGTGGGCTACACCCAGGGACAGCATGGGATTATGCCTCCGATAGAAAAGTATGTGGCAAGCTGGCCATTTTAAACTCATTGGATATATCTGGGGGCCTGGTCCTGCATGGTGCCACAGAAACTACAGGACTTGTGCTGGAGACACGGGGTGGGTGGGTGTGCTCATGGGGCAGGGGACCGATAAAAAGGTCCGGAGGACCTGGGGTGAGAGGCAGGCGGTGAGCACCCTCCTGCAGGATCTGCTCAAGGAAAAACTGAGAGGCGGGCGATAAGGCTGCCCGCACCTCCTGGAGTACACGCTGGGAAGTATGAGGGGTGGAGAGCCCCTTGCTCTGGCCAAGTGCCAGGGGATCTACCCAATCCCCCAGGTCATAGTCCAAAAGGTCTCCAATTCTAGTCATTCCTGCCAGGACCAACCTCTGGTGTACCAAGTGGGACTCCGTCACCTGCAAACCATGTTGGGGATTGTGTAGCAGAGCCTCTGTGAGGAGATCTGCCGGTGGCCACCACAGACCTGGTCACCGAAACCAGCTTTCAGGTCTGGAGGAGATCCTGGTAGAAGTCTTGTGGAAGACCCATCGGAGATAAAAGAGCTGCCAGTCATATTAGAGCCCTCAGATGTGGTGAAGGAAGGCGTGCATCAACGTGCGCCATGCTCAACTACCTGCACCATAAAAGAGTCTCTGCAGGCCCTGGAGGCAGAGGAGATGGACCTGACTGCAAAACCAGAATGGGCTCTGTCCTTCCTCCTCCAGGGGAAGACTCAACCCTCCACCAGAAACACAGAGCAGTCCTGGCCAAAAAAACTCTAGAGCTAACCTCTGGAGCCAGGCCAGGATATCCCAGGCTGGGCTCAGGGTGTTGAGCCGGTGCCAAAGCCCGGATAGTACTGGCAGGTTGAGCACCAGTGCCCTCCCCCACAGGGAAAGCTGCTCAGCCACCTGGCCTTCAAATCTTGCTAGTTCTCCAGCGGAGAGGGATGGGTGGCAGCAAGGTAAATGCCCAGATAGAGCAGCGGCCCCGCGCTCCACCAAATGACCTGAAGCACAGGTGGGAGGGAACTCGCTACCATCCGTCCCCGACCACCAGGCCAGAGCTCTTGACCCAGTTGACTGCAGTGGAGGAGGCCAACCTGCGATAGGTCACCCAGGTCCTGGACCACGAGGAGTATGTCATCAGCATACGCTGACAGGACCACACACAACTCTGGCTCATGGAGCAACCACCCTGTTAACCTCCTACAGAAGAGACGGAGGAAGGGCTCAATGGCCAGAGTGTACAGCTGGCCTGACAGTGGACATCCTTGTCACACCCTTCGCCCGAAGCTGACAGGTTTGGTCAGAGTCCAGTTGAGTCTGACCAAACATTCCACAGTGGCATATAGGATCTGGAGAAAACCCACAAACTGGGGCATGAAGCTGAATGCCCGCAGAGTGCCCTGGAGATAATCATGTTCCACCCTGTCAACCACCTTCTCCTGGTCAAGGGACAGGAGGGCGAACGACAGACCATCCCTACACCCGCGCTTGAGGAGGTCCCGGACCAGATAAAGATTGGATGGCCCAGTGTAGGTCTGGTCGGGATGGACCACATCCGCCAGCACGGACCCCAGCCACAGCAAGATGGCCTT